TTTGAATTCGTTTCCACACTTATGTGTGAACTCTGTCGCGCACCGCGAACGTTTGGCTTTTGGCTCAAGCTGAGTGAAAAAGACTTGCAGCTGTCCGCTGTTGTCATGGGACTTGTTTCCAAGGGAAAAGGTCTAGGAGGGACCTTAAGTTTTTCACGTCCCTTCTCTGCTCATCGCTGCCCTGAGGTTGTTCGTTCCCAGTTCTCCCTGTTCCCTTTCCACATCTACCTGCTCCATCCTTACTCCCCCTCCTCCCCCTCCCTCTTCCTGTCCCACCCTCCCGTCCTCCTCCATCCCTCCCCCCTTTCTTCGGCTCCCGGATTTCACCTGCGCACCCCCCACCCCCCTTCCTAGGTTTCACCTGCCCTCCTGCGGCCTCCCGGGCTTCACTTGCCTTCCTGGGTTTCACCTGCCCTCCTGTCCCGCCTACAGTGCAAAAGGCTTCTTTTTCAGCAAGTCTCGCCTGTCCTGGAGTTGCATCTCTGCATTCCAGGTGGAAGCCAGAAAGAGTTGTGAAACAAGTCAAGGCAGAGCAACGCCGTAAGGGAAGTTGCATCAACGCATGTAGCACAGCTGTGGGTCCAGTGAGTGTTACTGAGGCGAAGCAAGCGCTTCGCTGCGTTTGTCGGAGGAAGACTTGTGGGCTTCGGACAGCCCTTTCCTTGTTGCAAGGTTGCAGTTGGTTCGTGCGAGAACGCTTCTCTTCAGCTTCTGGTTGTCTCTGCTTTGTTGCACGCTGTCGCGTGCTTCTGCCTGGATGCGTGTCGGTGAACGTTGCGGTTTAGTTTGTGCGAGAACGCCGCTTCTGTCACCAACATAATTGCCATCACTGCAAACTTGGACTCCTTTGTTTTCGCTCGGCCTCTGACTTGGTCGGCAGTGGGACGAGGCTTTTTTCGGGTCTCTCCCGCCGGTTTGGCGCTTGTCGGCTGCTTCGGGCAGCCCCCTTTCCTTTGTTGCACGGTTGCAGTTGGTAAGTGCGAGAACGCTGCTTCTCTTCAGCTTCTGGTTTGGGCTCTGCTTTGTAGTTTGTGCGCTGTCGCGTGGCTTCTGCCTTGGGTGCGACACTGTCGGTGAACGTTGCGTTTAGTAAGTGCAAGGACGCCGCTTCTGTCCTGTCACTGACATAACTGCCATCACTGCCAACTTCCGCCCTTGCCTTATCATGTCGCCCGCGCCCTGTGGGTTGGCATTTAGAATGGACTTTGGACTTTGGTGTGCACGCAGACATGAACATTCTACCAGCAGAAGACGGAGACTCTTTTGGGTATCCACCGCAGCTCGCAGAATCTTTTCCCATCTGCTTGTCGCAAAGAGCTGCTTTGCATAGTTAGTCTCCAAACGGGCCAGCTTCCAGAGCTTGACGAAGACTGTTTCAGGCGCTGTTTTTGTAGAAGACCAGTGCTCTGCCNNTGTGCACGACAACGCAGAAACGAAGTTTGCGGGGTCGCTCGTTGTCCGACGGGACTGGAACGACGGCCGGGGACCTTTGCTTTGGGGGATCCACCGCTGCTTCGGGTGGCTAACGGGCGACGGCCCTTGGCTGCTTCTGCTTGTCGCTGAGAGCCGCCATCATGTACAGCGTAGCGTTACTGAACAGGGTAACTTTGTAGATTGCGAACTTGCAGTAGTCACTGACCGCTTTTCGATGGTTTGTCGGTTTGTTGGTTTAGCTTTGGGACCGAGCGCGGCTGACGCTGTCTACGAGGCCCGCATCCGCCAAAAAAACCAGCTTCTACAGTTTTTGTTGGGGAACTTGTGAACTTGAGAACCCCACCTGAAGAAAACTTTCTAGGTTGATTGGTGCCTCTTGATTGACAAGCTTTGAAAGAGTGTTCTTTCGGTGATTGTTAGTTTGTTGAGTGTGCGCCGAACCGAAGTTTTGAAAGCCAGAAAAGACTGAGAACATAGCAAACTTCACGCCGCAACCAGACATCAAACTGTTACTAGCACGTGTTTGGGCCGGGTTACATGGTTACATGCTAAAAAACCGTGAAAAGCTGTCGCAGCTCCAGCCATCACTTTGTGTGCGTTTTGTGAAACATCACGCCTTAGTTTCAATGCCAAAACTAGTTTTTGAGAACGATGCTTGCATACAGCTCCGAGCATTGATCCAGATGTGCATCTGTCTGATATTTGGCTGCTGCTCAGCTTCTGCAATAGATTTGAGAGCTTCCAACGTTGTTTTTTGAATAAGGCGTTGGATCGAAGCGCCTGGTGGATCAGATCAGTATGTAGCACAACTTCCGATTGAGATACGGTTTCATTTGCCCCCCAACTGTCCAAAGACATGCCCTCATGTGTAGGCTGGAACAAATGCTTGGGATGGCCGAAATTTGCAATTTCGGTCACCTTTGTAGCATCCCTGGTAGACGGCCCGACATCGCAAGGACAGGATGTCAAACGTTCAAAGCAGCCATCGTTTCCTTTATTGACATACGCAAAGGCAGCTGATTATTCGCCCATTTTCGGCGCCGTTATTGTGGTTGTCGCGATGTCTGAGAAGGACTGGTTTGGCAGATTAGCCAGCAAACTCACGATCCCCGGGACCCTGATCCCTTAATTCCTCAACCCTAAACCCTCAACCTTAAACCCTCAACCTCAACCCTAAACCCGAAACCCTAAACCCTCAACCCTAAACCCGAAACCCTAAGCCCTTGTCTCAAACATTCACGCCCCGGAGGAGCCCCTAGACCAGCTTCTGCGCCGCTTTCTTTCTCAGAAAGCCACCACGGGCTTCCGTGTCGCAGCAGATCCACAGGGCAACCCGGTGCTTGTGCGGGTGGGGAGCGATGGCACCAGCGATTTGCTTTGGGTCAGGAGCGGGGCCTGGGGTCTGCACCTCGATGGAAAGAGGTACGGCGGAAGCAAAGCCGAAGAGCTCCGCATCGTTCGGGAGCTGTATGGACAGGTGCAGCAGCAGGCGGCTCGGGGCGCCTGCCAGGCGGAGGCGGACAGCTTGGAGGAGGACTTGTTAAGGAGAATGGAGGAGCCCCTGGAAGAAACTCCCCAAGCGAGGCTTTGAGGCCCTCATTCTGGGCCTGAAATGTCCATGCGTTGGACGAAGGGTGTTTAAGGTGCTAGCTTTCAGGTTTGGGGGTTTTGGGTTCACAGTTAACCCTAAACCCTAAACCCTAAACCCTAAACCCTAAACCCCAAAAAAGAAAACCTAAACCCTAAACCTCTAAACCCTAAACCCTAAACATTTAAGGTTTCAAGCTTGAAAGCTGCCTGAACTTGCAGACGCCGCGCGAGAGGCAAACGATAAAAGAACTTGGAGCACCCATCTGCCAGGGAAGCTAGGGTTTAGGGTTTAGGGTTTAGGGTTTAGGGTTTAGGGTGCAGTTTAGGATTTCGGGGGAGGCTCTGTTTTTCGGAGGATGGCGCTTCTGCCAGAAAGACTGACATCACCTTCGAGACGTAGAAATCTCCGTGTGTCATCGTCTATGTACAGGTAGTGATAGTGTGTATGTGTGTATACCTATATATATATATATATATATGTGTATAGCATACATATATAGTCATGCAAATGACAAATGTAACTGCAAGACGGGCTGTCTTTAATATACTCGGCGAGCCTATGCAGTTCTCAAGCTTCCTCTTCATACTGGCGCAGGTTGCAGAGGTGGCATAGGGGTTTAGGGTTTAAGGTTTAGGGTTTAGGGTTTCGGGATGTCTGCCTGCCGGTGCCACTGTGCAGCTTCTTAGCCTGAAGGATTGTTTCGAGGAAGTACGACGAGCCAGCAGCTTACGCCTAGACCAGAAGCATATTCGGTGGCCCTTCAGTTTATAGTCAGCTTATCCCTGTCTAGCTTTCGTCGCGCGGCCATGCATCATCCTTTCAGGTTATAAGTGGCTCATTCGACAGACGTTTGACAAAAGCCTGCCGCTGCTTCCAATCCTTCCAAGCCAATGGTGAAAAGTGCTTTGGGTAGTTGCCAGTCTCTACCATGTTTCATGAGTTGCAACCCTAAGCCCTAAACCCACCTGTGCTTCGCAGCCTGAGCTACCCCAGCTGGGGCCCAGGCGCCCTGGCCATCATCTAAACCCTAAACCCTAAACCCTCATTGTATCTGAAGCATCTCCTTGGAAGCCTCTGACTTGTTTCGTCTTCGATCTGCTCCGCGGTGTGCAGTGTCCATTGTCCATTGCACTCTCCTAGTCGTGTGCATCGAATATTGCGTAAAATTGCGAGCTGCTCTGCAACCCGGCTGCTCACAGCTTACTCGGGGATGAAGTTCTGACATAGCATCCAGGCAATCCTTTAGCGTTCAACCTCAAATCCAGAATCCCAAAACGACAAACCCAGGTCTGCAGACGCTCATTCCGAACTACGTTTCCGTTTGATGTAAATTCCATGAGGGAACTGGAGGGCAATCCCTTCGCATGACACTCTTTGCGTTCTTGCCGTGCCGATGGACCAAAGCTAAGTTTCACGACAGAGCTGCTTCGACAGGTTTGGACCAGCATGCCAGTGCTCTGCATGGCTGCCATTTCGCACAGTGTCTTCGCCGGAGCATCTCTACTTACTGACTCGTTGCCGTGAGTGTCAACAGTTTCGTTTAGAGTAGCATGAGGCACCGCCATGTTTGGATGAGTTGCAAGCCGCCGGTGCTTCGTTGCCTGCGCTTCTCCAGCTCGGGCCAAGGCGACGCGACCAAGCTGTGGCATGCCTGTGGTGTTTGCATTAGGCGCAGGGTTTGGATGGGTCTGGTACTTTCATCTAGGGTTCAGTAGCGTTGGATTTCGTTTGTACCCAAGCATCGAACCGATCCCACACATGCATGTGTAAGTACTGCCAGTGCTTTGGGACTGGTGTGGCGAACCTTGCAAGCCGAAAGCGCCAGTATGGATGCTAGAGGCATCCATGTTTGCAGCAAGAAGCTTCGCTCGCCAGAGCTACATTCAAGATTCCGAGTATTTCCGAAGATTCGGTTTGCAATCGACACTTTTGGTTTGTGCAGCTTCCAACAAAGGAGGACACTCAGGGAGAGAGTGAGAGCATGGTTTCAAGGCCGGTGTGAGTATGAACATGTCATTCACTTTCAGAGGCACTCAGGCAAGAGTCGCTAACTTGTGGCTGCTGCGTTTTCGGCACATCTGGGGAAACATCAGATACATGAATGCTGCGTTATGACCGGCTGCGTCGACAGGTTCCCTGCAGTCGTGGCTCCGTGTGAAGACAGGCCGCTCCAGCACCGACACAGAGGCAGGCGGCGGGTGAGCTGTGGGTCCGAGTGGAAGCCCAATACCCTTTAATTAAGGAATATACCTTAAATCTTAATATTAAGGCCCCTATAATTTAAGGTAGGTTCCTGATTTAAGGGGTATTGGGTTCTGTGGGAGCAGGTCTTTTCATTACCCAGTGTTTTGTGGTCTCGAGATGAAGGCTTTTCGTGCTCGGATTCCATTCTTCAGTCGTGGCTCTGTGCCAGTGCGAAGCAGATCTTGGAGGGTGCAATCAGAGATCATCATGTAGTGCATACCGTCTGACGCCTTCAGCAATCGCATTGTCCTTCTTGAAATGCTCCGTTCTACATCGTTCTATCCCCTAGTCATGGGCTTTCTCCGCATCCTTAGCATTATGGCTGGTTGCGTTGCAACTTCGCAGCATGATGCCCATGCATGAAGTCAAAGCAAGAACCATGTAAACCCCAAACATGAACTCCCCAACCCTAAACCCCGAACCCTAAACCCTCAACCCTAAACCCTAAACCCTAAACTCTAAACCCTAAACCCTAAACTCTCAGCCCCAAACCCTTGGCCCTTGGCCCTTAGCCCTGAAAGCCCCCCAGTCCGACTTCGCCAAGATTGCGAGGATTATTATTATTACTATTATTATTACTATTATTATTATTACTATAATAATTATTATTATTATTATTACTATTATTATATTGCCAGGACCTGGAGTCCCAGCGGCGCCTGGCAGAGGCGCGGACGGCTGCTTCCAGTGCTGCTGCGACGACAACTGGGACGACGAGGGGGTTTAGGGTTTAGGGTTTAGTGTTCTGGGACGACGAGGGTTTAGGGTTTAGGGTTTAGTGTTCTGGGACGACGAGGGTTTAGGGTTTAGGGTTTAGACCACAAGGACGAAGAGGACTGGGATGGCGAGGAGGAGGAGGACGACGACGAGGACACGACGACAGGAACAATGACGAACACGAGGAGGAGGAGGAGGAGGAGGAGGAGGACGACGTCGCGACGACAAGGACGACGGTTTCTACTGCTGCAACTACAAAGCCTGCCACTTCTGCTAGCAAGAGCAATATCATACTTATTGTTATGCTGGTAGCAGCTGCGACAGGGTCGAAATCACAACAAGATACCGAGAACTCAAACGTAAACTTGGCGAAGTGAGACAACAGACTGACAACAATCTCCGGTTGCATGGTGGGTGAGAAGTAGAGAAGGAAACCTGACAGCGCAAACAAACGATAGCTCCAGCAAGACTTTCAAGAGTAAGAGCACTATGATTGTGGAACAATTCGACATCGTTGCACTGTCAGGTTTGCTCCGGTTTTCAGGCTTTTTTGGGTTTCGACACATACGGTTTGCATGCAGTCATTTCGGCGCTTTTGAGAGGGTGCACAGATTGCGTCCATCAGAGTGTGTGTCTGTGTGTGTGCGCTGTCAGGAGTCAACAGCTGCAATCCAGAACCCTTAAGACTCAGTCGGCCTGAACTAGTGCAATATAGAGGCCTGAATAATTAGCAATGAACTCCTTATTGCTGTGCACAGTGGTGTTGTGACGCATGGGTCCTTTTGAGCACCCTGATGTGCAAATCGTAGGCAGGGAAGCGGTGTACCTGAGAACAGGCATCGCATACCTCGCCGCTCACAGGCAATTCTAGCTTCAGCTTGGGCAGTCTTCTGAGGGTCACAGCCGGAGAAGCCAGGACGGCAATACTTTTTGGGGTTCCTGAATCTACTTATAGTATCACGATACTCTTAAACCCTATTATTGAGGCCCCGGCTCAAGTCTGAGTTTCGGGGTGCCCTAAACCCCAAAACCCTAAACCCTAAACTCTAAACCCTAAACCCTGGAACCCTAAACCCTTGTTGTTTGCCATAGCAAACCCTGGCACATCAAAAGGCATCGCGTCGCGCGCTGACCATCGACTACTGCCGAGAACAGAGCCTCGGCCTCAGGCTTTGGGGGTTTAGGGTTTAGGGTTTAGGGGTTTAGGGTTTAGCGTTTAGGGTTTAGGGTTTAGGCATTGCGGGTTTAGGGTTTGGGGTTTAGGGTTTGGGGGTTTAGGGTTCAGGAGAGCACTTAATTCTGTGGAATGCAGAAATGATCGTTCTGCCGGTGGACAGGATGGTGATGACGATAGGGCGAGGAAGATTATGATGGTGGTGTTGTGACGGTGGAGCAGACGATGATAGATGCTCTGCTGCTGCTGCTTCTCTTGCCTCTACTTCTTCTACTCCTACTACTCCTACTCCTACTCCTACTACTACTACTACTACTACTACTACTACTACTACTACTGCTACCATTACTATTACTACTACTATTACTACTACTTCTTCTTCTGCTCTTCCTCTTCTGCTTGTGCTTGTGCACATGCTGCTACTACTACTACTACTACTACTACTACTACTGCTACTACTACTACTACTACTACTACTGCTGCTACTACTACTACTACTACTACTACTACTACTGTTGCTAGTCACTACCGCCACTACCTCTACTACTACTTCTCCCGCTCCGACTCCCACTCCAACTACTCCTGTGGCGGCGATGGTGGCGGCGATGACATCATAAGCCTTGCCCGTCCGCCCAGAGTTGTTGGTGCAGCAACCCTGATCCCCAAACCTTGAATATCCGTGAACCAAAACCCAAAAATGTGTAAGTTCTTGGTGGTTGATGAGGCAGGAATGCTGTTGCGCGGTGGTTGCGCGGCACCCCAATCGACGTGGACTACGACTCTCGGTAATGCAATGGTCTTAAATCTTGGAGACTGAGTCCTCAACCGGATGAATCCTAAAGCCTACAGTAAGTTCCAGAACTTC